TGTCTATTATGCGCATATATCCATCAACGTAGTTTGATGTGAAAGGTGAACCCGGGAAAGTATGCCATTCCAACGAAGAACACCGTGTCCCGATTACCATGGCCAATTCTGACAACATAACCAGGTTGGGGACACTGGCTTCCCTGAAAGTCTAGTTTAATTTGGACAGAAATATGTGGTGTGTAAAAAATAGCGGCATATTTTGGTCGATTATAACTTGGGGAACATGTGGTAAGAAATGGTAAAAGACCGTACGCGCTATCGCAACTGGTCGATTTGACCTGGTTCCTAATTCTGCTTGTCCGGTTTTCTCAGTCCTCTACTTCCCAGCATATGGTTGATTCTGACCCACTGATTACCAACATCTTTGTGACGAAAGATCAGTTTCGTGTGTTCTTCTTGCAGGGCACCAACCATTGCCGGAGGTCTGTTCAGCGTGCATCGTGACTTCTTTGCCTACTTGGGGTATTACGATCCACAGATGGATGTTTGGGGTGGAGAAAATTTGGAATTATCTTTCAAGGCAAGTGCACTAGACTATTTTTGTAAACTACTTATGAGCGACGCATAAATTGAGAATTTGATGAGATGAGGTTGAACTCGCGGGTGCAGACAGTAGACAGTTGTTCTGGTTTGATTTTGGACATATCACATGTTATGTTCTTCTATCATGTTTGTGTACAACTATCCTGATCGTCATATTATGACAAAGTAAGGACCCGTAACTCACATGAAGGGTGTATTGGGCGATTTAGTTAGTCCATCTACCGTGGTCCCACTCTCTCGCCATCTGTGTAGTGATTTCCTTATGAATCCTTCGATGCTCACTCTTATCGATTCAACACATCCCATTGTTCTTGCCTGTAAAGCTTCACCCATATAATGTTGGAGCCGTGTTATCGCTGAAGGATAGATCGGGAATTCTCAAACCGGTTGCCTACGATTCACAATCTTCGTCGCCTGCACAAGTACGCACAAATTGACAGTATTGGCGATTCTGTTCGGAGTGACACGTTTTCAACACTACCACTTCGACATATATACGGACCCCATACCTTTACTTGGAATTCCCGGAGAAAACAAACCAATACCTCAAATGAAAACTACCTCTTCGACATATATATGGACCACATACCTTTACTTGGAATTCTCGGAGAAAACAAACCAATACCTCAAATGAATTCGCCTATAATGTAGCGTTGGGCCTTAAAACTTGCCTGCTATCGGTATCATTTGCTCCTGGACAAGTGCATCTCATGGCGGATGCCCTAAGTCGCCTACCGCTGCAAGATGCGCCATTTCACACACCGAAACCAGCCGAGCTAGTAAATTTAATGAGTTGGGTTGATGATCTACCTATCACTGCTGCGGAAGTATGAGTAGGAACAAGGAACGATCCAGAACTCTCGCGCGTGCTTCGTTTCACTTTATACGGATGACCGGAGAAGGTTGGAAGTATACTGAGTGGATTCCATAAACGATCGTCAGGACTAAGTGTAGAAGACGGATTTCTACGGTGGAGTGCAACAGTGATAATTCCAAGATGCTACCGTCCGGAAATTTTAAGGGGATTACATTCAGGCCACCCAGGGAATATACGAATGAAGGCTTTAGCCAGATTCTATGTCTGGTTGACTGGTATCGATCATGGTGTGAAAGTGATGGTGCAAAAGTGCGAGGCGTGTCAGCAAAATAGGGCTTTGTCCGCGGCAGTGCCCATATCACCATGGCAGTGGCCGTCACGACCGTGGAGCCGCGTGCACGTGGATTATTGTGACCTTATTGAAGGTTATATGAACCTTGTGATTGTCGATGCGCATTCGAAGTGGATAGAAGCGGTGCCCACCAGAACTGCATCTAGTGCGTCGACCTTCGACACTTCGCAGCACGTTTGCATTACGACTGTTTCCGATAGCGGCATGGCGATGCGGAATTTCAACTGTTTTGAATACCAACCGGTTGGAACATGCTTTAACAGCACCGAACCATTCCGCTTTGAACGGCCCGGCTGAACGCGCGGTGGCAACGGTAAAGAATGAATTGATGGAACAAAGCTCAGCTACAAACCAGACTGGACAAGTTTTTACTGCAGTTGCGCCACATCCTACTTGGGGCCAGGCACCCTCCGAATTGCTAATAGGACGGAGAGTTCGAACAGGTTTGGATCTGCTACGGCCGGACTTGGCAGATAAAACAACGGCAGTGTTCCGTGAAGCAAAACGCAGATAAACACCTCCGACCTCGCACAATACGAAGTGGCGAGGAGCTTTACGCCAAAATTCAACCGTCAGATAACGAATGGGTGCCTGGGTGTGGACGTCGACAAACCGTAATCTTATCGACGTGTTGTTAGAAGAGGGGAGGATAGCACACCGTCATTTAGACCATATCAGGACTAGGAAGCATCGGCCTGATGCGGAACAAACACCGGAGCCAACAGGTGGGCTCCGGATGGAAGCGAGGGCTTGTAAGCAGGTCCAAATTCTTCAGAGTGCCTACACCGGTCAGCAAGGGAGTCAAGGCCGGTCGAACGCTGCTAAGCTGGAATTGGCTAAGTCCAGTTGACAGTGGCCGCTTCGATGTGTTTGCGCATGTGCCTGTCCGTTCGTCAATCCACCACCGATCTGGCCTGTGACTTTAGTGGCAGACTGGATGCGCTTCCGATTGGTCGGCACGCCTGAGTGTCTATCCTTCAATATATCAGAGAGCTGCGTGTGGGATGACTTGACATGTGACTCTAGGTGGTTGCTTATCCCCTACAAGGCGGACCGGCTTGGTCGCGTGTATTCAGTACGCCCGTGTCCGTACGTGTCTTCTGACTTACCTTGAACTCGAGAACATTAGCTTTTAAAAATGACGTCCCCCAAGAATCTTAGCACCCCTGAACTGATATTAAGACTGGGAGATATCAAATACAGAACTTTTGGAATAACTGTATCTTTACGACCCCAAATGTAACCTTTTTCGTCTTCAGGTTATTGGTGAATCGGGTGGTTGTTTCTAAACATTCACAATAAAACTGGTTGGTTTCGAACGCCCACGGTTACAGCTTTTGTTTGCACCTTTATCGGAAAGATATTCCTCCATATTTTCATATTTATTGAAGTCTTTTATGGAAGGGTACTCAGTTGTACAGGTTTCACTCAGCCATTACAGAGCCACTGTTTTCACACTCGAAAAACTGTACGGCACCCAGAGTGAGCAGCTGTAATTTAACTGGCCACGTCGAATGTACAGGCGACATAACAGTGTACCGCATCGTTTTTACTTAAAATCTGTTTCACAGTATTAGTAGAAACATTAAATTCAAAAAAATCACATGATTCACCTGAATTACAAGTCTGATTAATCAATAACTGTTCCTTAAGCTGTGGCTGGCTACATGTAGATTCTTTCCACCAAGATTATTCAAGGTAAATCTGTATTGATTCCGGTTTATTCATGCGTAGACATGGATGTGTGGCGGTACTCTGCAAGTTCACCCATGCAGCCATGTTGGTCACGTGTTCCGAACGAAGTCACCCTATTCCATCCAAAACAACACAGGCCACACGCTCAGGCGCAATCTTGTTCGACTCGCTGAGGTTTGGATGGACGAATACAAAGGTTATTTCTACGAAAGATTCAACTTCAAGCTGGTGAGTCCAGTAATTTGTCAGACATGCGTATCAGCTTGGGTTTTGACGAGAGACTCACGCGTAACCCAGCTGAATTTCTCATTGTGATGTTTTTAAGCTAACGGTTGTTGAAGCTTTTTCAGCAACCTAATGAGTAGTATATCAAGTGTTCCAGCTTGTTGACCGTAAATTATCGAAAGCAAACGTGAAATTGCAGGCAGTGGTCACCTGTGAGAAAGTAAACCCATACCATGAAGTGGCGCCTCCATAAGTAACGATTTTACCTATTCGAATCAACTACCATTAGTGAGGTAACCCGTCCAGAAGTAACCAGAACTCAACTACAAACACCATTGACTACACCGGTATTAGAATGGAATCTGAAGCAGTTTCTTGAGCACAGTCTGATCGCCCTATATCCCAGAGACAGTGGGGAATCAACCAGCTCAGCTTGTCGGACTTTTGTGCGTTCCCGAGAATTCGAAAAAAAGTTCATGCACAGTGCCAACGGAACAATTTTTGTATCTAGGCTATTCAGTTGAAATGTACTCATTTGTGAGCACGAAAATGGAATAGTGGGGTTTCTGTTCACCGTTCCTCCCGATCTTGTACACGATCATTGGATAACACTCTGCTTGAAAGAGTAAGCGATGCCGAAGTGTTGTCCCTAGAACGCAGCTTTGTGACGCAACACAATAAAACAATACTGGATCTTACAGGCACAAGATGGCGGACTTATCTGGCCTTGAAGCTGTTATATCTACTGACTCGCCAATCTCTTGTACCTGACTGTTGACCAGCTCCAGTGCCTAGTGCCGGGAAAAAAGACTCACAGAAGGGAACACAACGGCCACACTTCGAACAAGCGTGAGTGCGTACGAGTACGAAAATAAAACGGTCTCAAGCTATTTATTGGAGGGACACTGCCTGAACTTGGTTCGATGCTGAAACACGCGGTCTGGCTTTGTTAGGAGCCTGCGACGCGCCACATATTGCAGGTGCATAGTCTGATCTTGATCAACGCTGACTCACGTTGCCTGGGTCTGATACAACGCTGTGAGGCGCTGTATATTGAAGGGGCGTTGTCTGTCTGGTCAACATCTAGCGGAGCTGAGTCTCAATAGATTTCGAACATTCAGCAGTTGCTTTCAGGAATCTGGCCTTTCGTATAAAGGTCGAAATTCCCTGTGTCCGGTTGCAAGTAATGACATGACTTATCCCAGAGGCAATATGCAGTATTACTTATGATGTAATACTTTCACGATGACTACACCCACCGAATTTCAAAAGATGCGAGGCTTTATCTACCTATAATCAACTCGTGGAGATTATCGGACATTAGATTTTACCAGATATTATGAAAAAATATGAGGTAGTGCAAACTGCGATAACAACTCCTAAGTGAGGAAATAACGTGCCCCGGTTTTCCTACGCTTACGGTTTCGAATCCGTGGTACCTTCAGTATACGAAGAAAAAAACTGAGAGAGGGTCACACTTTAATTTGCAAGTAATTTTGTGCTAGCAGAAGAGTGAACAGAATATTGGCCAAATCTCTTTCTTGTCTTTGTAGTGGCCTTCAAATTGATGGCCAGCACAAAGGTTACCTCCTGCAGCGTGGTTAGCTGAAGGTTCACAGAAACGAAGGTTTCAGTCGATTCGTTTCATAACCCGAACTTAACTTACAAATGAATACATAGCCAATCTTACCTGCAATTTGGTGTGGGATATATGGTTGATGTAAACGCCTAGTGATGAAACGAGAGAGGCGTGAACTCAGCAATGGACTGCCGAAGGAGTTTCGGTGACCTTACCTAAGTAGGTTAACGAAACCGCGAGTTGTCTGAGGAGGATAGAGTAACCTCAACTGTATCATTACAAACGTTTCAAGCAAACTATGCGTCCAATTTTTGATAGGTTGGGGGATTTTTGTAACGGCTGACCACTGCTCAGTAGCCACTTGTAGACGTGTCACTTAAGTAGTTTTGCCAAAGGAACAGATCTCATTTTTTCGGCGTTATAAATGACCCCCTCCCTTAAATTTAAATCAAGCACTGAAGACTGTATTTTCCAAGGCGTTTGGTTTCCTTGAGGTTCCTCGGATCGAAATGGTGCGTTTTCTGTGGGGCGTCTCCAAGAGGGCTGTTCGGATTTCTTCATATATGCGCATCGTCACGTGGGGCACCTGAGTGACAAGCTCTTAGGAGGCATTGACCAAAATTGTCAGCGAATCAATGAACTGCGCCGCCCTGACTTCACTACTGAGTAAAAAAATATTTAGGAGAAATGCTACCTCATCTGACTTAAATTTAAGCACTGAAGACTGTATTTTCCAAGGCGTTTGGTTTCCTTGAGGTTCCTCGGATCGAAATGGTGCGTTTTCTGTGGGGCGTCTCCAAGAGGGCTGTTCGGATTTCTTCATATATGCGCATCGTCACGTGGGGCACCTGAGTGACAAGCTCTTAGGAGGCATTGACCAAAATTGTCAGCGAATCAATGAACTGCGCCGCCCTGACTTCACTACTGAGTAAAAAAATATTTAGGAGAAATGCTACCTCATCTGGCTTATATTATCCTATCCTCCTAGGCACCAACAATCTCACTTTGTGATTTTAAAAAATATGGCTAGAAGTCAAAGATGCCACTAGAAGGCAAAGCATCCGTAATTGAAAAGAAAATCGAGATGGCGTGACGATCTGAGATTCTTTTCGTCTGCAACATAGTCTATTGATTTGCTGACGGATGCTTGGGCACGTGACCTCACAAACAGGAAAGTCAGTTACTGCGGATTTTCAGATACACATCCACCCAGTCTTGGTTTAATGAACCTAGTTAAATGCACTCGGTGACGTGAAATTTCGCCTCAGATATGCGTTTCTGGCAGTTTCACTAAACTAACCAGATAAATCTCTATATTCTACTACTCATAAGGTTACTGAAAATCCGTTGGCAGACCAAGACCGGTTTCGCCCCTTTTGGGGGCTCGTCAGAGAGGCGCAGTCACTGGGTTTCTGCCAACCTTATGTTCTACTTGAAACCAAATTGTACGGAATTACCGAATAAACACTCAATTGCAAACTAATTTGGTTTTTCGAGAGACTCACCTGGAACCCAGCTGAATCTCTCGTTTGTGATGTTCTCAGATAAATCTCTGTTCTATTTACCCAACTTACCGCGCTATTTCATACTTCAGGGCGAATACGGTGATGTATCGGATCGCAAGGCCCTCCGGGAACGTCTAAAATGCCAGTCGTTCAAATGGTATCTAAACAATGTATTCCCAGAGTTGTTCGTCCCGTCCAATTCCTTGGCTAATGGAGACGTAAGTTCACATGCGGTTTGTGATGTGTACCATCCCCGGTCGAATGAAACGGTGCATTTGCGGACTCTGGCAACCGGTTGCGTGAATTCGGACAGCTCCTAATAGTACCCGCTTGAATCGATATTGTACTCTTCTAAGTAGTAACATATCAAAATGACTTACGGTGTTAGCGAATATACTCTCATTTGCAAACTAATTTGGTTCTTTCGAGAGACTAACCTGGAACCCAGCTGAATCTCTCGTTTATGGTGTTCTCAGGCTGGTGAGCCTCTAATTTCGTGCAGTTTGGTTTCAAGTAGATCATAAGGTTGACGGAAACTCGGTGACTGCCTCTACCTGATGTGCCTCAAGAAGGGCAAATCCGGTAAAAATGAGGACATGCTAAAGTTCTACTCTTGTCAGGGAGTGAAATGAGGTTTCCAACCAAGCACCTTTGACCCAAAGGGCACCATGCAGTTCTGCTCACAACGGGGCGCCTCCAAGGTGCTCCATGATCAAGAAGAGCGCGAAATAGTCCAGTCCAAACATTGTTGGCATAGACTGTGTTCCAAGAACAGAGCAGCCTGATCAGACAGACTAGAAAGTCTATCGGGCACATATCCCAAGCTCAACATGTCGGCTTCGGTTGCATATCGGTGATGAGAGAAACAGGTATTCTTTCAAAACTTTCCACTTAGAGGTCTATAGTAACATCAGTTGCATTGGACCAAAAAGTGAACACATTTCGGGGTTTGGGATCCACTCTGCAACTGTTGGTATTGTATAGTGCAAGGAACTGACGATCCTACAAGCACAGGATAGAATCGTGAAATTTTCAAGATGGTTCTTTAAAACAAAACTTCAAGTACATCCTTTGTGGTCGAAAACCGAGAATAAGCCACGTGAGATGCAGAAGTACCCTATAATCAACCTAATTTAAGTCGTGGGCTGTCGGAAAGTTTCCAGCAACCTTATGAGTAGTTTACTTTATAAAAATATATTGCGATATCTCGAATACCGTGTCAAATGAAACAGGAGGTGGCCTGTGTGCAGCACTTTCAGGTGCGAAATATCATAAACGAGGGATTCAGTTGAGTCTCGTGAAAACCAAATTGATTTGCAAATGGGTGTATTTCTCGAATCCTTTGTGTCTGTCCACCGGTGCCTCCAACATGTGGTGATCGTTCTTTTCTTCTCCTAATACTCTGTGGACGAAGGCGTACTAGCTGAATCCACTGTAATCTGGTACGGGATATGTACTTGAAGTGACATAGAGTGAACTCATTTCAAATTGCATTCAATTTATTGATGGGTTCGTTCCATCAACTTCGTCCGTTGCAAACAACATTAATGGCACACATCGAAAGCGAAAACTCAGTTCACTGTTGCGATGTTCGTTGTAGTAGCGTCCCAGTGACGCCACATATCTAAGACGCAGGTTTTCCCAAAGTAAAATGAGGCATCAACTGTGAGAAAAACTTCAAGCAACTTGGCGAATATACACTCATTTGCAAACTCATCTGGTTTATCGAGAGACTCACCTGGAACCCAGTCGAACCTCTCTTTTGTGATGTGATGTTGCCCCTGAATGTGCCGCACCAGGCTGCCTCTTGTTTCAGTTGCTACGATGTTCGAGATATCGCGATACATGTGTATATTTGTAATTTACTACTCATAAGCGAAATAAATTTGTTTGCAAACAAATTTGGTTTTTCTGGAGACTCACCTGGAACCCACCTGAATATCTCGCTTGTGGTGTTTGCAAATGGGTGTATTTCGCTAATTTCGTGCAATTTGGTTTCAAGTAGAACATAATGTTGACGAAAACTCGAGGACTACGCCTACCTGACGGGCCCCAAGAAGGGCGAAATCGGTCGTGGGTTGTCGACGGATTTTCAGCAACCTTATGAGTAGCACATTACAAATATATTTGTGATGTTTCCCGGCAACTGAATGTGCCGCACCAGGCTGCCTCTTGTTTCAGTTGCTACGATGTTCGAGATATCGCGATACATGTGTATATTTGTAATTTACTACTCATAAGCGAAATAAATTTGTTTGCAAACAAATTTGGTTTTTCTGGAGACTCACCTGGAACCCACCTGAATATCTCGCTTGTGGTGTTTGCAAATGGGTGTATTTCGCTAATTTCGTGCAATTTGGTTTCAAGTAGAACATAATGTTGACGAAAACTCGAGGACTACGCCTACCTGACGGGCCCCAAGAAGGGCGAAACCGGTTCGTGGGTTGCGACGGATTTTCAGCAACCTTATGAGTAGCACATTACAAATATATGCAAGCAACTTGATTCGGAGAACAAGTCCATTGAACAGTATAATTCACGTATGATGTAGTTTTATGTTAAATAACATATAAGTTTATAATCTACATCTCCCGAGGCACGAATTTAATGACATGACCCCTCTGGAGTAATAGCGTATACGAATCAAGAGAACAGACATGTTTGTCCGAAATTTTCAAATATCATCTTTGCTGGTTAGCTTTGTGTAGCTCTGCTCACGCAAACTCATCTATCTGGCTTTGTATTCGTCCTGCAGATCGAAAGTTTCAAAATGGCCATTTGTCTAGACGCGTCAGCCGATGATCACCAGCCAAAACTGCACCTCCTACGTGGCTATCCATGCCATCGTCTGGGTGGAAATCAGGTAGTTGCAAACGGATGTTGATAATACATTGTTTTTTACCGGTTCTGTTCAATCTACTATCTTATTTTATCCCTTTACAGCAGCAAACAATCAAGATTTCAAAATTTTTGAAGAATGTCGTTATCTGCACTACAGCTTTCCCTCTGATTCTAACGTATCGAGTATTTAGCGTTTCGGTGTGCTGCAGGGTGTTACAAGTTGACTAGAACATTGCACGCGTTACTACTTGTGAGCGCATAAAACTTACAAGATGAAATAATCTCTCGGGTTAACACATTTACTGAATTAGTCAGTAAATTTGACTGATCACTCCCAATGTTTCACGACGTACGTAAGGGATGTGATAAACAGAAAGTCTGAAGGAATTGGGTGTAGGAAAGGCTAAGAAGCGTGGAATATGGTTTCAACCAGTCCTCAATTTAATCACACTCAACTGATTACCAGTGAGTAGTCAGGAAGCTACATCTCAGCTGTTGTCGATCCTGTCGGGTACAAAACCTTGGGAGGATGAAGATGGCCCGTTGACTGAGCTTTACAGGATCTGTGTTAAGGCAGGATAAACAGTTCAAGACCAGTCAGAGTGAGTTGTTGCCCATCAGACTTAAACACGATCACGGCAATCCTGGCGAAAGGGAGAAAGCTTCTCAGCTGCTAAGCAGTCACAAGCTATTAGACACGAAAGTAAATATCTTCGGACAAAGTATTTGAAAAGCGAGCACTCTCAAGCACCCTGTTGAACTGCTCTGGACTATATTTGAATATTAAGCACTTATGAACAATCCCTACAAGGCATCTCCTTAATTTGCTTGCCAGCCTTCCATCAAGTGCAGAGACTGAACTCGGACACCTTGCCAGACGCTACTCGCATGTTTCATCAGTAGTATACATCGTCAAACGAGTCCATTCGGTTTAAATAACCAAAACGTTTCCAGGAAAACAACGAGCGGGGTTGGATTATGTCGTTGGAATATTGCTGTTTTGGTGCAGTATCTTATACCGATACACGACGTGGTCAAATGTAGGTAGCAACCATTCCGGTATGCCAAAATCTAAGATGTCTTAGAAATGGATCACCCAAGCCCTGAAATCTAATGAACTCTGCATAATAATGGGACAGGAGAGGCATAGTTGCACGGAAAGAAAGACGGGGATAGCTGTTTTTCAGCATGCTCTGCTGTACTCGGAATGTCATCACAGTCAGACTCAAAAAGATTGCGTTGTAAGGTTTGGGTTCTGGGGGGTTAAATTGTCCTCTTGATTCACTACACTGTCGAACGTTTACGGTTACAACAGACTTGTCACATCTTTCGAAATTTCGAAATCAGTGCATCTTGCTACAGAGGACTACTAATCACACAGAGTGTGACACTCCCTAACATTAAAGCCACTCACTATAGCAAATTACTCTTCGGTACTGAGTCTTGGCACAGTCTTGTCCACAGTATTCCACGGAACAATGGAGCAGTCCACGGTCTTCGAATGAAGATATCATCCTGTATATGTAGTTCACATATTGGAGTACTCAAAACCCAAATTATATCTCGCCAAAGGTTCGGTCTTTTGAGAGAAAAGATTTTAAAATGACAGAGAAGCATGGGGAGAAGCCCCACTAATGATGAAAGGTCTGCAACCGATAATGTAAGTTTGGCGAATAGCTGAAAAATTGGCGATTAGTTAGCTTGTTACACAGACTACGTCTTGGTATGCCAGTTTTGCACTTCTGAGGCTTTATAGTTGACGTTTTGCTCTGCACCCTCAGGGTGTCCAGCCGCTTTATTTCGTAAACTACAAGGCCTAGACACAGTACACATGAGACCAGGTTTGCTTCACCCACTATGTTAAAACCCCTGTGGTAGTTCATTGATCGGCGTGCAGGATTTGCTCTCGTTCACTAACCGGTGAAGACAGAGTAGCTACTTCCACGCCTACCATAGTTTGTAGATTTTATGAAGGGGCCCTGTAATGCAATTGTTTGTTTTGTCTGATTTTTTTCACTGACCGTGATATGATGAGGCATATGCTTGCTTGGAAAGAGACGCACTTTACTGCTTAGGAAGTATCGATTGCTTGATTTAACTTATGGTTACTGCTATTCTGTTTATGCCAAAGCTCTGGTACTGGACACCCAGTAAGGAAATCCGACGTGACAGCAGATGTTGGTCGGTGGATGAAGCCAAAGGCGTTATTGGCATGGCGAAATGTGGTGGAACGGACAGACAAAAGTTTGATTATACAGAGGTAAATGGCACATTGGCATGCTAGGGTCAAACTTATCAGCGTTTTTCTGAATAATATACTGCCAAATCAATTTAATTGAAGTTTCAATGTTATACAATTTTAGTTTTATTTGAATTCAAGCACCTAGCGCGTCTCTTTTTGAACTTTCTGGTAATTAAAGACATATGTAAGCTCGCGGAAACGCGGTAGAACGAGTCGGTCACTTGATGTGCGCTCAGATCAGTATATCGCGACAGGGTAACAAAAGTGATGTAGTGCGAACTTCAGAAAACTGTTTTTCAAAGACGAACAATTGAATATTCCTCCAGGGCAAACTGAAAAACCTGGGATTAAAACGAAACATCGATTAAGAGTGGCCCAAAACAATAGGCTGCATTCCGGTTGTTGGGTAAGCATTAACTGGGTGCGGTGAATCAACTGCCAATTCTATACAATAAAAACGGGTGTGGAACACTGAAACATTGCAGGAAGATGGCCAAATTTCCTGTCCTATATATGCATCTATCTATCTATCGATCTATCTATCTATCGATCTATCTATCTATCGATCTATCTATCTATCGATCTATCTATCTATCGATCTATCTATCTATCGATCTATCTATCTATCGATCTATCTATCTATCGATCTATCTATCTATCGATCTATCTATCTATCGATCTATCTATCTATCGATCTATCTATCTATCGATCTATCTATCTATCGATCTATCTATCTATCGATCTATCTATCTATCGATCTATCTATCTATCGATCTATCTATCTATCGATCTATCTATCTATCGATCTATCTATCTATCGATCTATCTATCTATCGATCTATCTATCTATCGATCTATCTATCTATCGATCTATCTATCTATCGATCTATCTATCTATCGATCTATCTATCTATCGATCTATCTATCTATCGATCTATCTATCTATCGATCTATCTATCTATCGATCTATCTATCTATCGATCTATCTATCTATCGATCTATCTATCTATCGATCTATCTATCTATCGATCTATCTATCTATCGATCTATCTATCTATCGATCTATCTATCTATCGATCTATCTATCTATCGATCTATCTATCTATCGATCTATCTATCTATCGATCTATCTATCTATCGATCTATCTATCTATCGATCTATCTATCTATCGATCTATCTATCTATCGATCTATCTATCTATCGATCTATCTATCTATCGATCTATCTATCTATCGATCTATCTATCTATCGATCTATCTATCTATCGATCTATCTATCTATCGATCTATCTATCTATCGATCTATCTATCTATCGATCTATCTATCTATCGATCTATCTATCTATCGATCTATCTATCTATCGATCTATCTATCTATCGATCTATCTATCTATCGATCTATCTATCTATCGATCTATCTATCTATCGATCTATCTATCTATCGATCTATCTATCTATCGATCTATCTATCTATCGATCTATCTATCTATCGATCTATCTATCTATCGATCTATCTATCTATCGATCTATCTATCTATCGATCTATCTATCTATCGATCTATCTATCTATCGATCTATCTATCTATCGATCTATCTATCTATCGATCTATCTATCTATCGATCTATCTATCTATCGATCTATCTATCTATCGATCTATCTATCTATCGATCTATCTATCTATCGATCTATCTATCTATCGATCTATCTATCTATCTATCCTGGAATCCTTTTAGGGCGTGTTTAGTAATCGTTTCAATGGCTGCTTAATGGATCAGTTTGGGTCTTCTGTGTGTGCGGGTGAATGTACTTGGTTGCGAGAGTCAACTGACTGAAACTTCACCCTTTTGTTCTTTCGGGTAACATGGCATCTAGGCACCGAAAGGGTATTACAGCCGGATCATCATTTTTGTCTGTTGACTAGTATCTGTAAGAATACAGTGGGTAGCGGCTTTTCTATAAACACGGAAAACCCGTTTCCCCATAAAAGGTAGTTAATCGTTTCTGTCACCTCAAGGTGAAGCTTACTGCATACATGCGCATTCAGACCAACACATGAAGGTAGCTGCTTCACGCATCACCGTATAGATGTTCGAGTCATAATTACATATAAGAATCGATTGTCAGTTTCAGTATTCATGTTCATAGACTAATACGATACTCGCAGACACCCTTCTCAGGAAGGATGTGGACTTAGAAGAACAACTGGCGACTTAAAAGTTAAGGATCAATAAATTTGAGGGTCGTGGGTCAAATAAAAAAGAGGTCCATATGTTTCTACTTGCGGGGTTTGCTTGGACAACAGTTGTGTGAGCAGTGTTCGGATGAAGAAACTCCAGTAAAACCATTTCGTAGACATGTGATATAAAACCGAATTTTTCTGTCAAGAATATGGCTTTATTTGACACTGACTGGAAAGTCGAGTATCAACGGATGCATTTGGTCACCACTAACTGTAAGCTGCAAATCAATATACAGTGCAACGCGTCATCTGTTGTATGCCTTTCCTCGCATATGTTACCCTCGTTAAAGGACCAATTGGGAGTGGTCGCGAGGTTCCAAACGAGAGCGATCGTCATGCTGAATCCAGGACATCCAGACACACCTTGTGAATGTCTTCCAAAAGCGAGACACTGGCAACTGAAATCCAGTAGACTATATACAAGAAATTACAGGTGATGTCCCAAGTATTATCGTTGCCAATTCTAGGCGTATTGAGCGAATCTGGGTAAAAGTGCCGTCCTGCTGAGTTCTTGGAATGGAAGGTGGTTGTAATCTCTAACTTTTGTACAGAACAAAGTGTGAGCATCCTAATTCTAGTTAGATACCAAACGAAATAAAATCGGTGGAATCTTTGTCAATCTGGTCAAAGACAAGGAGGTCACCTGAATTTGCAAAAGTAATCGTTGCGAACCTCGTACCTTTAATGATCTACCGGAGTGAGAGCAGCCTGGTATCCAGACACAAAAAGCTGACTCTGAGATCCCACAGAGATTTCAAGCTGTTTGTAAAATTCATCACTCTGTTGATCCAGGATCGAATCCAGCCACCTTAATATGAAGTGAGAGTTCACACCTGACATGCTAGGAGGGAAAACGTTACAAGCAAATGTTTTGGTAACGCTGGCAAAACCGGTATTCGGCTTCTACTAAGATGACGTGTTGGGAACAAACACACACCCCTCCACCAAACCGGTTCCACATGCACATTCTGAATTCAGTTCAAATAGAAGTATGGACAAAAAGGATAAAGACCCCAGGCCTCTTTTTATGTAAAAATGTTAAAAACTGCTGTGAAACATCGAACGCTGACCTGATCATGTGCTATACGAGGGCTACTCGAGGCAGCTCACTTGATTGTTTCGTTAAAACTAACTCAGTGGTGATTGGTCATGCCAGAATTACAGACAGCTGTTGATATGTCGAGCACAATGAAACCAATGCGAATATCGATTTATCCGGTTTATTCGGTATGAAGATGATGAACTAACGGAGCAATTTCAAAGGCATGAGTTGCTTTTCTTCAATAACCAAACGCAATTCGGATAAGATAAGCGGCTGAACAGGTAGGTGTGATTGGGGTGAGTGGATATACTAATCTTCGATCAAAGTGTGTGGTCTTTTCACCAAGCCAAAAATGTAGTCTAGTCAGGAAAAACCGGTCTCTAGATACTACCATGCAGAACATTTTGTGAACGCAAATCGATACTGCACAAAGCGTAAACAAGGTAGCTTTCTTGCAAGGTTCCCTTGCATATCATAGTGTACCGGGGACATTATTACCGGCTGATTATACTTGAGCACACGCGTCGACCTCTTTGAAACCGCAGACAAGCAGCCGGGATGCGCTAGACTGTGCGCACATGCATATTCCCTCAGATCAAACACATTTGTCGCAGTTCAACACACCAAGCCACCTGTTATGGGATCCAGTTGCCGACCGAAAGCTCGCGGGTTCGAATGGTCGTGTAGGTTCGTGAGATGTGTACTGCTGATGACTCCCGACGCCGAAGAAACTCCTGGACAGTGCTTCTGGGGTTTCTTGGACAGACCACCTTGCAGTATGGAGTCTCCATTCCACCGTTATCTGTCCCCAAAATCCACATTCCGTTCAGTTATAAGTGATGTTCCTGCTTTAATCTTTCTTATCTTTGGTTTGTTCAGTCGCAATTAGGTGTTCAAGCGCTGAAAAATGTTGATGACCTACAAATAAACGCTCCAGAAAGTGAAAGCAGTAGTATGCTCTCCTCAGGGACTTTCATCGAACCTGTAAGTTAGTTAGTTGCATGCTGGTATGAAGCCCTCGAACGGCTTCATTTCCTGGCTGTTGTTCGAATTCTAGTCCTCAAAATTCGATCATTCTTCAACACTTTGAGGTCACTTGTAACCCAGTTTTCACCGCCAGTTTCCTACGTGTGTGGAATGGCCCGGAGTTCCTCGTACGTACTGTTCATTAGCGGTGCGATAGAACAGAACGTGTAGCGCCTGATAGTTGTGTGGAATGAAGATCTTATGTCAACTTTTTATTGGACAGTTCCAGCTAGTGTAAAGCCTTTTGGTTAAAGTGTCATAACGAACACAGTATTGAAGTTTTTCCATTCCACTCTTTTTATCATTGTCCAATAGGAAGGCAGATTGATATACAAGGGTAAATGCGTGGAGATCTCGGACAACCAAGTGGATGTCTATTTGGCCGAATGTAAAGGAACATTCAATCAACTGTGGAAGTTCTCACGCAAGCCGGTTCAACCCCCAACAAGTTCAACACTATCGCCTGTATATATGGCGGGTGATCAAAGA